ATATATCCCTGAGAAAAATTATTTTTGCTCTCTCCATATTTAAAATTGCTCTGCAATACCAAAAGATTGACAGAAAAAAAATCAAGTACTGCACTGAAGGAATGGCAAGCTTGTACTGGAACATGACAACCCCCTTTAGAAACTGCTGTTCTGCATAGGTAAATGTGTGCATCACGGGATGAATAGAAGATGTCTTTGGGCCCGTCTTCAGCAGAGAACTGTTTCATCACAACAGCCACAATGCGTACCGTGCAAAATATCCTACTCCAAGATTTCTGCTGAATACTTTTGGCCCTCCACAAATGTCACTAGGAAATTCAAAATGAAGCTCAAGTATAAAAGAAGGCAGCTGAAAATAGGGTACTTTACTCTCCCTTGGAAGAGGATAAACATGACTGTAATAATAATAATAAAAAACTGGATTTATACATTTATTATTTTTATAAAACTGACGTTAACTCATATTGAACTATAACACTGTGGCTTTTCTGTCATTTATTTTCCTATTTATTCAAGCAAAGACAATTTTCTAATATAGAGACCAAACACTGGTTTTGCACATCCCATCTAAAGGAATAAAAAGAATAACTAGTGCTACACTTTCTATGTGGAACTTGTTCTTCATGAACTCATAATCAGAATTTACACACAAAGAAGTTAACAGGGCTAGAATCTCTTAGGAGACTAGCCCTGGAAAAGACACAACCACTCCTGCAGTTTTATTTACCAATTTTTCCTACATTCCTTGTTTATCAGTTAATTACCAAGAAAGTGAGATGCATGGTAAAGCAAAAAAAACCAAAACCAAAACAAACCAAAAACCAAGAAAAAACTTGGTTTTTTCCTCAGCTTCAGAAGTACTGAAAAATATTAAAATTGACCTGCTTTTAATGTTAGCTGTTGAAAAGATATATTGTTTAACCACCTACTTAAACAGTAGCAGAGATGGAAGAAACTACTCTATACTCATCTCACATTAAGATTTTTTTCCAAATGTGATCTGGGAGTTCACCTTGGATGAAAGGCAGTATTTAATACAGTACCACCTGACCAATGTACTGTGGGGAGACAGAATGATCCAGTAGATATTTCTATATGTAACTATTAGTATGATCTTTGAAATACGAGTATTTAAGCCTTGTGACACTGAATTTTCTAATAAAACCATAAGGCATAACTGTATTATAACTAAGGCTAACATTAGTTTTTTCATAAATCTTTGGTTTGCTTTCTATTTGCTAAGGTTCCAAGAACAAGTCCTCTACTGCTGTATTGCTCCAACATGTTCCATCTTACAGGGTTGGTTACTTTTTCAATTATCAAGAGAAAGAATTCACCTGCTTCCTTAAAGTAAAGCCAATGAGCCTTTCTTATAATGGCCAATTATGAAAAGACTCACTTTTCACTTCATGATAAACTAGACATTTGTGTCCTTATCAGGACTGCTTCCTATGGGAAAAAAATGTGCTGTGCAGGTCACAATGAAGAAGTAAAAAACTAAAAAATTAGTTTCTTTTCCTCCAACTTCTTCAGGATTCTTCCTTGGTTTCCTTCATCTTTTTTTATTTAATTCTTTCTTCCATGTCAATGTTTTAAGTTTACACATTTGAATGCAGCTGACAAATAATAAATTTCCTATATACAAAATAATATTTCATAATCTCACATGTTAGTAAAATGTAAAAACTCAATATGAAAACAAATCTTGTGTCAACTAATAATCATTACTCCAGGCTTAGCCCACATAAAAATCCCCTAATGATGTAAATAGTAAATTTCTCAAATTTCACAGTCTATGCAGGCTTTCTGGTGGGCTTTTCATTGTTTATTTGTTTTAGGAAATACATCATTATAGTCCTTGTCTATTGCCTCCACTTAAGACACTCACATGAAGCCATGGAGTCTGAAAAATCAACAGGAATTACTGTAGTACTCTACATTAACTTATATCCTAGCACATTGACATTACTATTAATGTTTAGCTTTCTCAAACTTGATCTGTTCACAGCTGTATTTCACCATATTCACTAAAATCGGCCAATTGTGAATTGGTAGTCTAACAAAAATCCAAAATGTGACAGATAAGAACTGCAGTCACTTCAGTTTAAATCACATTCAAGCATCATTCTGTGTACACATTGGTACATTAAAATAACTGCCTTAATCTTTACGTGCATTAGGATCAAATCACCCAGTGGACACTGGGAATTCCAACTAGTGTAAATAACTGTGCTCTGCAGACAGTGGCACCCTTTCCAAGGTTCTCTGAGGGGAAACTTTAATTTGTGCTTAGGGTTTTGTGGCAGCCTACTAGCAGAGGTGCCTTGGGGAACATGCTGAATTAGTATCACCATAACGTGCAGGCATGTGTGTGCAGGAGGCCACACTAGTCACAGGTAAGACAAATCAAACGGCAGCATCCCCCCATCAGCTTTTCTATTATCTCCCCCACTTTGTGCCAATTTCCTCCAGCTTCCCCAACACCTCTTGCTTTGCTGTTCTTCCTTAAGACATGGGATGGGGATTTGTCAAAGTCAATGAGCACTTTATTACAGTGAGAGTGCTCAGTAATGAACAATTCAGCAATTTAATGAGATTCTGTAGATCTGTCTCCAGCCTGTCCATCAAGTTTCACTTCTATAAAGCACCCTGACACTAATCCTCTGGCATGCCCAATCTTCACCCTGGGCTGAATATTAGATTCTTCCATGGTATATTGCATTACCACTATAACCTTAGCAAAAATGATGAACTTAACTACACTTGAGGCAATATAGCTAGTCTGATTTGATTTTCTTCTATTGGGTTGACTACGAGGGAATTACTTATTTACTAAGATAAAGCAAAGAACCAGTTTATTATTTCCTTCTGAATGCCCAAATTGGTAAATATTTATATGTGTCTTTCAATTCATTCTGAAGACCTGGAATATTTATAAATATATGGGGTTTTTGCCAGGTTGCACAGACTGAATTAAAAACACCCATGCACGTTTTGCCTGCAGCGGAAAACTAGTTTAAAAAAATTCTTCCGAACAGCATTAGTAACCTTTAGAGAGGCAATTATGATAACACTTAAATGGACAGTGTGGAGTTTGTTGTCACTCAGAGAGCAGCATATTACCTACAAGTATCTTTCCCCAGTATGACCCTGCAACAGAAACAGAGGCTTTGTCATATTTGCCTCATGAAGTGCTCATTGACTGGAGTGCATACAATTAAGAAAATTATTTCTGAGTTTTTCTGCAGGACAGGACAGGGCAGGACAGGACAGGACAGGACAGTGACACAGGATTTAAAAACTCCTGATGCCTAAAATGGAAGAAAAAGGCATCACTCCCACTTCCCAAACGTCATTACAGCATGTTACAGACAGCATATTACTCTGGATGCAGTTGCTCACTATTGAGCTAGCGTGAAGTTGTACTTCCATGGCTTTCTGTAACAACTTTTCTAGCAAAAGTATATCCAAGCATGTAGCTAGGGGATTTCACTGACCCTGCAGAGAAATGACAATAAAACCTTATCAGCCAATCAAACACGCTCCATGAGTAAGCCTGTGCATCAAAAACTTGTACTTATTTCTAGTAAAGGGAATGTGGGCTAGGACTGCAGAGTACTGTACTGTGCCTAAAAAACAGCAGCAAAACCCAAGCCATCATCATTTGTAGGGTGCTGCAGGCTCTGTTGTACAGGTATCCTCCAGGGATTAAGACAAGAAGAAGTCTAACTTCATATCAGTATTTGGAGAAAATATCATCTTTGTAAAATACTACATAATCTAAAGCCTCAAAGTTTTGGAAACAAATATGCCGGTTACCAGCCTGAAGGGTTAAGTTACATCTACATATTGGTTTTGTGGCTTGAAGAGCTTAACTTGAAAATGTAACTTTTTAAAGAATAAATACTTGTTCCTGCGTGACATTATTAATCCGCAGAACTGCCCCACAGATAAAAACACATTTTACACTTAGAGAAAAACAATGGCATACAAATGTAATTATTTCCTTAGAATAATCCAAAAGATAAGTAGATAAATAACAGGCACTGAAATATAAATCAGTTTTCTGACTCACAGTCTTCTCTGTTGGATCAGTATAACCCACTTCCTAAAAAGAATGCACAGGTTTCTTTCACGCAAGTTACATTCTGCCTTGAAATACAAAGGAATACTTTCCTCTATAAAACATGACAGCAAAAAGGAAAGAGAGAGAAGTCTTTGGGAAACCAATATCATAGAGATGATATGAATTACAATTTTTACAGACATATGATGGAAATGTGTCTAAGGATAGATTTTGGTTTAGTTTTTGATTTTCTCTTAAGAGGCTACATGTTTTTTTCTATTAGGTTTCTTCCCAAGACACGTACTTAAGGTCACAACACAAGGCTTTTATCTTGTTAATATTCTATGGGTAGAAACATGGCTATTTTCTAAATCCTGCTTTTTTAAAGGAAGTGATCACCACTTTGAGTTTTTTGCCACAAACCTTTCGCTGAAGCTTCTACTCATCTCTGAGCAGAGCTGCCTGTGTGATGATTGTCTAATTTGCTTCAGGCAAAGTCAGCTGTGGTGGCCCAAACAATTTAAATGACTATTGAAGTTACTCAGCTAAATGTGACTGACGTGAATGGGACAGACTGCAGAAGCAGGTTTGCCACCAGACTTGTAGCACTAGCCTCATCAGAGGCAATGATAACTGACTTGCATGCATCAGCCATGTCTTCCCACCAACAAAACCCGATCTGGAAGGAAATCTCGGGCTATATTTAAGTAGCACAAGTTAAGCAGTATGACAAATTTCTCTTTCAAACAAAGTAATTGCATTAACACAACACAACATTTTTGGAATTTCATTTAGAAATTTCCCTCAGTTGTTATTCACAGTTTTTGCTCAAGTGCTTATTCTCCCTCGAGATTGCTCCAGGGTTTCAAAACAACAGATTACTGCTATGGTTTATAGAGTATCACACATTCTGGTTGTTCACCAATCTCCTTACCTGCCAGATCTGCTCTTCACTGAGTGAAGTGAGTCTATCACTTTTAAAAACCTCTCGAAGAAGACAGTATGGGAGTGCCAGAACTTCTTCAGGATGACTCTTCAGCAGCTCAGAGAGATGTTTTACTAGGAAGCCAATGACTGCATTCTCCAACAAAGTGAGGTTGAAGAGGTCCGCAAGCTTATACAGGTCCAAGTAATTAAAACTATTTAATTCCTAAATGGATGAAGCAAACAAAATACATCTCAGAAAAACAAACAAACGGACACAAAACAGAGAATAAAACCCCCCACAGGTCTCAGATAATGAAAAAAGGTTATTCTTTTGGAGATGTGGAGAAGGAAAGCAATAGAACTTGAAATTAATTAACACAGCCTCATTCAAAATGTATGTGTAAATGCTACCAGTGCATATGCTAATACATATGATAGTACTAATTTATATTGCAACTTCCAAGGTTATATGTGCATAAAGCATCTGTAAGAAATATGGATTAGCACATAATAAAATAAACCAGCATGATTTACACTGTATGACAAGAGCGCATAGGATCTAACAAGTGGATTTAAAAACTGTATTTGTTAACTACCATGATTTGTTACAAAGCAGTTGTTTGTTCATTATTTACTGTTTTGATTGAGTTAGAGCACCTGTGTAGTACAACTTTCAGTTCCATGAAACCTCGCAAAATACAAGATGCTTAGCTACCTCTTATTACATAGTTAATTTTTCTTCAATGAAAAAAATTAACCCTTTTTTTTTTCTCCAACCACTGACATCAACCTCCAGTAGATGTTGGCCTCCTGCTTTTTCTCCCCCTCCTTCTAGCAGCTGAAAATTTGAAGAGACAAAAAGCTACAGTAACTCAAGGCAGAAGTTTTTTTCCACCCTGCTAACAGATGACCTATATTCATGGGCTAACGTTTTTAACTTGGCATGCCTCATAAATTAGTATCTGGACAACTAACTACTGCTGATCTAGACCATACTGTTCTCTTCAGGAGAGAGGCCAAGAAGTCACTTGTATTATACAAAAGTACCCAGAGCATCTTGGAAATAAAGCATGTTTACTCGTTTTCTCTGTTCTTGCTGTATGCTCACACCTCTCTTCCTCTCTCCTCCGCAATCCTGGTTTTCATCTTTCAATTTCCTGCATTGCTCCCTATCGGCTGCCTTCTCTTTGACCAGCCCCATGTGTGAAAACGACAAGAAGTCTCGTCAGTTTCACTTTGCTGGTTAGTTAACATAGGGACTAGAGCAAGGAAAGAAACAGACTAAATTAAGTCAATTTCACTTTCACTGCTCTGCTGGATGGAATGGCAGCACCAAATGAAACTGACAAGAAATCTTGTAAATGTCAAATGAGCTGCACGGCTGGCAGATAGAGCAGAGCAACAGGGAAGATGGGAAAGTGCGAAGAGGGGTTTTTTGGAATGTTTTATGGACTACATCTTGAACGTGTGAATTGGGTGCCTGTCCCAATGACTGTGGAGCTGTTTATGCATATGCAATGGAGAGTGAAGAAAGAATTTTTTTTACCTGCTTAGAGGAGTCAGTACTGGAGGAAATGAAATTGAATTCCTGTGGAGGTTCCTGCTTGTTACATAACCTCCCAGTCTGAACAGTGTACCTTCTCTAGCAGAGTCCTACACTAAAGACAAATCCTGTTCATTATCTACTTAAACAGCTGCATAGAAGTTTCACATTGCTTTCTTTGAAGAACAAAGAAAAGTTCTTTACGCTGTCAGAACAAGCACTAACAGCCATCATCCCAAAAGCCACAGATATTCTGGTGTCAGCTCCTCTTCACACTAACAGAGGAGGTAGGGACAAATTTGCAGTTGCAGAAAGAAAGAGAAAGGAATGAATTTTACATGAGAAGTATCTGGTCTGCATGCTTGCTTGGTGACTTAGTATCTTCAGATCACAGATGGTACCTCACAACACCACTTCTGTTATGGCTATGCAGTAGTGGCAACAATACATAAGAGTCTAATCAAAGTAAACACCACAGTATTTGACAAGCAACAACCATAGTTCATTGTCCCTGGTTTGGAAAACTTTCTTGTCAAAGAACTCACTGATTGAATGAATGCCAAATGCCAGAAAGAAATTTAGAAGAGATCAGTGTGTATTTATTGAGCTTTTCTGTAGTTAATGGTTGTATTTGGGGAGGATAAAAAAATTAATTAATTAATTAATTAAATAATCAAGCACTGTGACCCGAGGATCAACAGCCCAATTAAAACAAATGCCTGATCAAACCCCACTAAGTGTCAATGGAGAAGGAGACATGGCTTTTAGTGGGCTTCAGAAGAGGACAATACTGTAGATAACATAATAAAATCTTTCCTCACTAGAGACAAACAGCAATGAGACACACAAATGCAGTCTTTCCCCCCAAAAGTCTTCACCTTTCCAGTGAAATCTGAATGACACTGCTAAGCCTTCATTTTTGGTTTGGCTATTTGTTCATGATCATCCAAACTCCCCTATGCCCTCAAATCAACACCAGCTGAAGTTGTTTTTATGAAGGCTGCCTAACAGTTGAAGATTCTCACAGATGGATAAATAAAATCTCACCAATTATTTATTTACTATACTATATGTAATAACTTATTTCATATGCTTATTTATGTATGTGTGTTTATTTATTTATTATGGAGGTTATTTGTTTACTTATTTTTATTGTGAAGTTTGAGATGATTTTTGATGCTTCACTTAACATAATATGCTAGTGACCTGGTGGACTTACAGTTTACTGCTTGATGAATACTGCAAGTATGTTTTGTTAAAACTGGTCTTGGCCTGGAATCAGAAACATTTCATTTTTGGTGTTGTAAGGTTAGTTGATCTACAGGTTTGTATTTCACAGACAAAGAGCAAGCAGTGCTTTAGCTTTTACAAATGGTAATTATCAGATTGTCATAACAATATTCAAATCAAGATTATACAGCCCTGTACATTACTGTCTCTGTGATGATACTAGAGGGCAAAAATGTCACACTGAGATTGCTCGGTGTATAGCCCAGATCAGATAACTTTGCCCTTTATAAGTGGTAAGACTTCCAGAAATAGGTTAAAATGCAGTAGGTAAGTTAGTTGCAATAAAATGCATCTTACCTTCTAGCTTTAATAAAATCCCACAGGAAGGATCAAAGCAATCAGTGCCAGCTGAGTCTGATTTGAATAGATTTTTCACGCTAAACACTTAATTGAATTAAAAACTTTGATAAATGATGAAATAGGTTACTAAACAGGAAATTTAGGTGTGGTCATGAGTAAGAGTACTGGTAGCCTCTGTTTTTCACAGATCTTATCATATTGTGTCAAAAGAGCAACTATAAAATTTTAAAGTAGAGTGCAGCTTCCTTCCGGTACTGTATTACAGTTTGTTCTTTAAAAACACGCAATACAAAACAGGCTTATGTAAATTCTTGAAACTTTTAATCTCTCTTTTTATAAACTTTTAAGTATGTTCCACTTATCTTTTCTGAAATGAAGGATGAAATATGAACACAAGCAGAACTGTCACTAAGGGCTGAAGAGAATTAGGGAAAGGTAGCGATCCTATCTCTTCTAATATGATGTACCTTACACTGCTGAAACACATTCAGACTGAGAAAACATGTATAAAATCATATACAGCACTTACAACTGAAGCTGAAATTGTGCTGAAATATCACAGTAAACCAATTTAGTAAATTGGCCAAATTATTTATTAGTGTGTACTGCTAAAATAAGAACTACCTTTGATCCTATGCATCCTACTTAGTGCACATCGCTCCTGAAGTAAGGGAATCCACTGTTCCACACTACTGGTCTTCTGATTCAGTAATATCAACCTTTAGATGCTAAACCAATTTAACAATCAGCTGACATTTAAAACCCTCATAAAAGAAAATATGTTTTCCAAACAAACATAATCTGAAAGATGACAATATTAAATATTCAAAATAAATGATGTGACATTGTCTTTATTTTAATGCAGAGTTGTATTTTAATATAGAGATATGATAAATGGCGAAACAGGAAAAATAGATATAAACATTGTGTTTAAATTACTTCCAAATCCATCTTTATTCATTTGTACTTTAAAGAATAATTGCCTTGCACAAGCCAAAGAAAAGGATGTAACAGATTGATAAATTAGAGTTAATCATAACCAAGTACTCAGCAGACTACAATATACCTCTATTCCTCTGCTCCGTGTTATAAATAGCAGAAAAAGCACAAGGAGAACTAAGGGGAAAGAATGCATTTCTTTATGACCTTATTTGAAAGATAAACTCCTTGGGGAAATACAATTTATTCAGATTATCAAGACCCTGCTGTGCAAATCTACAGTCTGGGAGCACACTACGGAGATCAAACAATATTTACTTTATTCTGTTGGGTATAAAAGCTTTTAATGAATGCATAATTAAGACAGAAAAAGTATATACAGCTTTAGAATTCCACTGCCAAACCAAGCCATTAATATCCAAAGTATCGTACCCAGTTGTAACTCCACCTGCTTCCTATTTAGATTACAACACTGTTATAAATCAAGGTATTAAACGACTAGCCCGGCTGCTATAGCAGAGAAGAGTTGCATGGTGACATTATTTCCCCTTTTCCTAAAAGGAGTTCAGCCTCTTTAAAGCAAAAAGACCCCAAATGCGAGGTTCTTGGGACAGGAACATGGTTATTCAAAATCCTTAAGCAGCACCTAGCATGACAGGTCTTGACCCTATGCCCTCCAGGTTCTCTGCTACATTAAATACTGTGAACCAGCTGCACCATTCAGAATAGAACCTTGACAAAAAGCATTGCAAAGGTGGACTTTAAATAGATAAGGCATAGTAACAAAATGAAAAACTGTAGTGACAAAAATATACTTACCTGACAACAGAAGTGATCAACACAATTTTTGGAGAAAAGAAATACAGTTCTGCTGGTTCTAGCTCTCCCTTTCTATAGCAAAGCTTTTAATTCTGCAAAACCTCACACATTTATCAAAGAACTAATAGAACATGCACACACTCAACAGCACAGCAATAGCCAGACATGTTTCATAATCAGCATAAGCACAAAAAATGTATTTTAGATCTCATTTGAAATTTCCCTCCATCAAACACCAAAGCCATCCAGTTGAGCCATGAAAGGCATTTTGCTGAAGCCTGGTTACAGTGAAACAGCTGGGTCAGAATGTTTCAATATATAAAATTGATCAC